TAGGGAAAGATAATATTGCTGTTTGTGACAATGGATTGGTTAAACATGCAAAAGGGCGGACATTCCCGACTGATCACAGTAGCGCCCGTGTGGACTAAAAAGAATTAAGAGACTGAGTTGTTATATCAACAAAGACAACAGTCCGCAGAAGATGAATAGTATATTATGCTGAGAGGATACCAGGAAAAGGAGTTTCAAGATCAAGAGACATTCGGAATGCTTACATCTTGTTTTTGAAATCAAAAGAGCATGCAGTCAGAATAACGTTGTAACGGTACCAGGGGCAGGGGGCTCACAGAAGAACTGATAAATAAGAAATTGATACTCATTAATCAGTCACCCATTTTGACGCGAGCCACCTGAAAGTAGATAGGCGGATAATAACGAATGAGAACATGACGGAATTCGATACTATCACTATATAAGCTAAGTCGTACGAGACAAACACATTTCACTTTTGTGGGTAATTGACGGGTTACGAAAACTGCTGCTAAAGAGTGTTCAATGTTATGATGGGGCAATAACAAGACCCGCAGCCAGCAACTTCATGGTCTTGTTAGGAAACAACCAATTAAAGAGCACGGTTATTGCGAGGATACAGCTTGTCCAAAAGATTCGAACTCCATTTCCGGTTGACAACTTGATAAGTTTCACAATCCCATTCTGTAATCCGGTTCACATAGATTAACATTCAGCTATCGTTCTTTGACGTCAACCTGATTCGACATAATGGTGGGTCTATTCAAAACCCAGTCTATTGGGAAACTCAATGTAATTTATGTGCTAATCTCCACAAGATTGTTGCTCTAAAAGCAAGAGGAATGTCTAGTTAGAAGTACTTGTTTAAATGAAACATTGGAGACAGAATTACTATCTCCATAACTTGCAAAAATCAACGTACAGTTTTGCTGATCTACAGAATTCGTTCAAATGTTCAAAACTAGGTGATGGCGTCACTGTGAAACGTTAACCTCTCACCTTGTCGACAAGCAGGAAGTATTTCAGGCCATCCAACGCGTTCCACTCAATCCGTGAAAAACCCGTGAGCCTATGCACATTAGCCCCAGAGGTTGTTTCTGTTGATATCTGATCCTCAGCTTGTAACGTCATACACTGGTGCTCGCTAGGGGTTGCTAAGACCGGGTTTAACTTAGCTTTCCTACCACCCTGTGACAATGTCATTCTTTGTCGTGTTCCCGCTATATATGTAGAAACCTGGTGACGACCAACTGATCATAGTTTCATGACATTGTACTGGATATTTTTCGTCAATTGGAACAAAAACACTTCTTTTTATTGGTTTTCATGAAAGTTGCACTGAAACCAACCTGCATGATTGAAATAATCAGGCCAAACAAGCCAATGATACTGGCGAAAATTTCCACAATGAGGATCTTCACGAACAGGACTGGGTTCACAGCATCAGCCAGAGCGGCCCCCGAACCTACGACACCGACTGCAACACCACAGATGAGATTACAGAAGCCGACAGTCAAACCAGCAGCAAAAATGGCGTACCCTGCCCGGTGATTGGCACGTAGTGTCGCCGGTGTAGCCTTGGCTGCATCGAAGGGCTGATTGGAGAATGGAGATGCTTTAATTGTCAGCACACCATAGCCATAACATAACATAACCATAACATAGCCAAGCAACAACGTCCACCAGTAGGTCATACGACCAGAAACTGAAAAAATCGGCTAAGATAAACAAGTGACTCTTAATTCAAACCAATTGACCAGTGACCTTGAGGCAAGTGTGATTACTGGGGTAACGGAGTATACTACTGATTAAGCATGCGAGTGGTCTATAATCTGGTATCCAAGCTCTGTCCGCAATTGATGCAAGGTCAGGGGTGTTACGGAAATTGTGGGACCCCTCGAAGTGTTCCTTTACTATCGTTTAATAGTTAATGAATATCCAGGGAAGTTCAAGAGGATGCGTGAGAATGTCTTTAAAACGATATGTATATGAGATAGTTACTTTCGTGCTTATTGGCGCGTAACCATCAAGTTCGTCTTTGATAATAAATGACTTTGCAACAAGATGCTTTCCTCCTTTTATTTGGTGCCGTGAGCAGAATATGGATGGAGATTCCAAGACCACAACCCTTTGAAAAAGGGGACGCGTAGGCCTTCCTGAAGGACTTCGAAGATGTTGAGGAGGTGGATAGGCTGAAGATCGATCGGGGTAAGCTGGTGGCGCTAAAGAGCCTCCTCAGAGGCCGGGCAAAACGGCCCTGAATGCAGCCAGAAGAAGCCATAGAATCACGCACATGGTCACAACGGACTCCGCTCTTACGGCGTTCAACACACCGGCCGGCTTCCAGGCGGTTCAATGTGGCCAGCGTGGGATTCAACGTGTTGG